ACACACACACTATATATATATATATATATATATATATATATACATACATTTATACATATATTTGTATATACACATATATATATGTGTGTTATATATATATATATATATATATACAAAGTGGTGTTTATTTTAAAGAGACAATAGGTCTGATGCTGAGGTCGTTCCCGCGGGAGTTTCATCACTGAAGTTCTCCGACGATCAGGCCCAACTCACCGAATTGAAACACATCAATGTCAAGTGTGGCGCTGCCATCGCTATTGCCGGAGGACGACAGTGGTGAAACTCCCACGAGAATCACCAGAGTATCGAACTTATTATACGCCCATTCATAAAAAAACGGCACGACTTTATATACATTATTTATATACATAAACATATGCGTGTGTGTGTGTGTTTGTAAGGTATATGTATATATGTATATATATATATATATGCATGTATATATATACATATAAATACATACGTAATTATATATATATTTATATATACATACATATATATATATATATATATGTATATACATATGTATATACATACATACATACATACATGCATATACATAAATGCTAAGTAAACAACACACTGACTGAGGGACAGTTCATACAAAGACAGAGAATGAAGTATATATAACGTCAGGGGTAACAAAGGTAGACATGATTTTCGAGGCAAGCGAGGGCGACCACAAGAAGAGCCGCAGTTGAACTACGACTGACAATAATGGCCTGTGACAAACGCAGACATTGCATCTCCGATACGAATTTACATATTAGTTTAGACCACAATTCATGTCCCGTTTTCGTTCCAATATGCTTGTACTGATGTCCTTTTTGTTTATGTTTATTCTGACGCAGAAGTAGGATGAAAGACACACTTCTCATACACACTTCTCATACCTTACGGATATTACAAAAGACTTCGCATACACAATCTCCTCACCTCAACCGCAAGCATCGGGGCCTACAACTATAACCACCTACTTAGCACTGCGCAGCCACGCACCATAGTACAACTACACACACAGGACAATCCAATACGCTACCATTGAGGAGACTATAACACACAGATAACACACCCAACTCATCACACTCAGTATCTCACCTGTACGCATCGGGGCCTACGACTATATCCACCTGCTTGCCACTGCTCAGCAACGACTCCTTCAGCCGTTCCGCCATGCATCCCAGCACAGCTACTTTGATGCTGTCCTTCTTACGCTTACGCTTCATACTGCGGAAGTAGTCTAAGCGTGACCAGATTTTGCCCTCCGCCCCCTCGCGGATAGCACAGGTCATGATGAAGATGACGTTGGCGCTGGTGGGGTTGGGGTGTATTGCCGTGAGTGGACGTGAGTACAGATAACGCGTATGTTGGTAAGTACATAGCAGTGTTCCCTATTGCATTTGCATTGCCAATAGTGTTGTGTATGGTAAAATATGACCTATGTCTGAGCCGAATGTCTGACATCGAGATGTTTTTAAATATCCATATGTGAGCGGTCCTCTGCGCTTAGGCTGCGCCGGGTAAGCCTTACGCAGCGCGCCATCGATAATGTAATGTTAACCAAAGCATAGGTTGAATATATAAAATCATGTTTGTGCGAGTAATTTTAACAATACTATTGTATATATATATATATATAGATATATAGATATATAATAATATATATACATAATAATATACATAATAATATATATATATATATATATAATAATACATATACATATA